ATGGATTTAAAAACCTTAACCCTTTTAAAATTCAATTTTTTTTCTAAGTAATCAAAAGCCTAATAAAGGCAACATAGAAAGTTATTTTGCTAAAACATAAAATATTTGTTTCTTAGACTGGCTACAAAAAACCTAAAGAAAGCACTCTTCAGTGTGATTGTTTATCATTATGGGAAGCTCATTCAGGTAACCTGGATGTTGAGCCTGAAGGAAAGGGTACTTGGATGTAATGAAACACAGAAAGAATATGTCCAAGATTATAAGTGTATACTATATTATAGAGAAATATAAACAAGAAAACTAGTACCTTGAATAGGGAAATACATGGTTCTTAGTAATAGAATGCTGTTACCACAGAAACTTTTCTGGTTACATGGAACAATTCAGACATATCAAAAAAAAAGCCAAGAGCACAAAATTAAGTTATACTGGAGAACAACACTGCTTTTCTAGGCCTTTAAGTTAAATATTTCAATGTCAGGCCAAAACAGTGGTGTTAGAACCAGGAAAAGTCAAAGAAAAGAATGATTATCTCAGGCTTTCTCCAGGGGAGAAGAAGCTGAAGGAAATGACATATTGACCAGCAAATCATGTGCAGCAAGAAACAGGAAAAGATGAACCTCCACAATATGAATTTGAGAAATTAAAAAAGAACAAAAAACAACTTTATCCTCAAGGAATGAAATTACCACTTTAAATCAAGAAGACAACATTTTAAATCTGAAACTAGAAAAATTAAATAGATCTCAAGGAGAAGATACCTGTTTAAAGGAACACATTATAAATTTAAAAATCAAAACCCCTTGCAATTTTAGTACAATGAGATCAGTACTTCAGGAAACCTTGTTGTTTTAAATATAGGGAACCAGACTCCAGTTCTGTATCAATGCCCATCCTCCCATCCCCCACCCAACAACGTTTAATTTTTAGAAAAGTACACAATTTCTTTTTAATTCCAACCAAGTCAATCACACATAAAACTTCCTTTATTAGCTCATCCTTTATATATCCTTTTCAACTTTATTATTATTAACTTTTATTATTTTCCTAACCCCTACTTCTTAGTCCTATAAGTTTTCTTTTCTTCTTTTTTTTTTTTTTAATTTGGGATAACCAATCATTTTATCTTATTTGACTATGATACAGATATTTATTTTGTGTATATGATTTAATTTAACATAAATTTTAAGATTTTAAATTACATGAGTTCATTTATAAATATTTATTTCATTTACAGTTAACTTATTTTTTTAACAACTATACTTAGATTTCTTATGAAAATTGAGATATTAGATGGAGCTGGTCATTGTTCCACATTCTTTTTTATTAAATAATTATATGGCTAGTTAGCATCAGGTGTTTACCTACATAAGAGCCATAGAGTTAAATACATGGGTATCCTATAGATAACTCAGAAGATATAACTTTTCTTTTTTTCCTTAAAAGCAAAGGCTCACTCTGTTGCCCAGGCTAGAGTGCAGTGGTGCAATCATAGCTCACTCTAACCTTGAACTCCTGGGCTCAAGGAATCCTCCCTCCTCAGCCTTCAGAGTAGCTGGGATCATAAGCACATACCTGGCTAATTTTAAAATTTTTTATGGGGATGGGGTCTTGCTATGTTGCTCAGGCTGGTCTCAAACTCCTGGACTCAAGGGATCCTCCCACCTTGGCCTCCTAAAGTGTTGGCATTACAGGTGGGAGTCACTACCCAGCCACTGCTATTTTTATTAAAAAATATTAAATTAATCTTATTTATCAAAGAATTGCATAAACAAACATCACTTTGCTTTAGGCCTGGCTTATAGCTTCATGACCTTAATAGCATGGGCAAATATAAAACTGACCAGTGCTGATGCTCAGAAACTGATACCCCAAAACATGGCATTTGACATGCTGAACTAAAGAAGACTCAAGGTCTCTCTGACCTTTCCTTCACCCCCACCATCCCTCCCAAAGAAGGTGAAGTTTCTTTATCTGCCTAAGGACCAGACCTACCAAGGAGAAAAATTGTTTGTTCTCCTGTTATCTCACCTATTGTAGAAAAGAAGACCACGATGTGACCACACCTGAGCAGACCCTTATAGAAGTACAATGACTGTCTCCAAGGATGATTTGAATTCCAAAAAGAACGATTTACAAGTTAATATCTGTTCCCCAATCCAATCATTCTCTCACCAATATTCATTGCCCCTCAGTGGGATTCCTCTTCTCTCCCCTCCCATAAACTGTTTTATCAGAATCCAAGCCCCTCATTCTTTCTGTAATTTCAAGACTGGTATATAAGCCTCTATAACTCATCGAGAAGTTGGATCTTTATTCTGAAAGCATCTGTGTATACACGTTAAATAAATATGTATGCCTTTTCTCTTACTAATCAATCTGGCCCATGTCAGTGATTTTCCAGCAAATCTTTGGGGGGCAAGAGCCATGGTCCCCACACCAGTAAGCAAAGGCAAAAATATATGTTGACAATTTAGAAGATGTTTTTAATTTTATTTTGTCAACAATTTTAAAACCAATTCATTTTTTCAAGATTTACTTAAGTCTCTCATGAACTAAGAAAAAAATAGGTTAATTACTATATATTTTCTGTGACCACTCATCTATTTAAACCAATCAGATTAACATTTCTTAAGGGATTTTTGGCCTATTACACTGAATTTTATTATGTAGACATAACATACAACATAATACATGTACATATGTATAAATACATTTAAACATATATATATATATGCACACACACACACACAAAGGTCTTCTAGCTTTTATTTTAGAATTTTAGTTGTGAGATAGTAAAACATATAAACTTGGTGGTTTATAGAAAACAGTTGGATCTAAATTATTTTTCTGGCAAATGAGATAAAGGCTATGAACCAAATTTTGGTGAAGCAGTTTCAGCTAGTTACCAGTGTAGGGGCCAAGGGCCCTGAAGGCTTCCCTTGGCCCTCTGAAGGTTCACTGAAAAATCAACCTGCAAAAGGCAGATTAATTGGATAAAAGGCATACAAATGTGTTTAATATGCATACCTGGGAGCCTGCAGAATGATGACCCAAAGATATAGAGGAAATTGTCTATGTTGATGCTTAGGCTTAACAAAATATAGACAGCCATGGAGAAATATGATTGGACGAAAAGGGTATGATCTAATGCTAATAAAGTGAATGGGGAAACCCAATGAAAAAAGCCAAACTCTGTAAAATATTTAGAGGTTTATTCTGATCCAAATATGAGTAACCATGGCCTGTGACATAGCATCAGGAGGTCCTGAGAACATGTGCCCAAAGTGTTTGGATTATGGCTTGCTTTTATACATTTTAGGAAGGCAGAAGGTACAGGCAAAAACATAAATCAATATATGTAAGGTATACATTGGTTTGACCTGAAAAGCCGGGATATTTTGGAGGAGGAAGGGTTTGGCCAGCGGTGGCAGAAGGAAGGTTGTGGAAGCCAAGGTTCTTGTTATGTATGTGAAGCCTGTATTATGCCTCAGAGAGAACAGGTGGTATATGTATCTTAAAAGGTAAGTGACCTTAAAAGGTGTCAGACTCTTAGTTAACTCTCTCCGGGATCAAGGAAAGACCTGGAAAGGGAAGGGGATTTTCCACAGAATGCAAATTTCCCTCTCAAAAGAGCTTTGCACAGGACCATTCCAAAATATGTCAGAAATATAATTTGGGGTAAAATACTTTGATCTCCTTTGGGGCTGCTACCTGTCATGTGATGCTATACCAGAGTCAGGTTGGAATTTGTTTTTGTTTGTTTGTTTGTTCGTTTTGAAACAAGTTCTTACTTTGTTGCCTAGACTGGAGTGCAGTGGCTGTGATCACGGCTCACTGCAGCCTTGATCTCCTGGGCTCGAGTGATCCTCCCACATCAGCCTCCCAAATAGCTGGGACTACAGGCAGTTGCCACAACACTAGACTAAATTTTTTAAAGTACAGACAAGTTCTCCCCATGTTGCCCAGGCTGGTCCCTACCTACTGATTCTCTGGGATTGTAGGTGCCAGGCCAGACTCCACAGGTCTTTAAACTTCTACGCAGCAGGTAAGGGGAGAGATTAGGGTGGCGGAAGAGCCGTACCAGCGGCCGCACTCCACACACCCTGGCCTCAGCTGGCTGGGGCACACAAAACCAGGTGCTGCCGCGAAGGACTAGGCCTACAGAGTGCTGCTGTCAAAACCTGCTGCCGACAACTTCCATACACTCCCCAGAACGCTAGTAGGCGGTTGTGTGCGGTTTTCCCTGCATCCGCCGCCAGGCGCTCACGGGCAAGGTAACAAGAAGCCTGACCAGGCTCGGAGATGCGAAGGGCAGACGCAAGCGCATTTGGAAGAGGGACGGGCGGTGGGAGGTGCGGAGGGAGAAAGGAGCAGAACATCTGCAGGCGTTCCGAGCCGCTGGCGGACCGATGGGGCGTCCTGCGAGGGTTCTGCCAGGATGACAGCAGTGCCTAAGGAGTGAGAGGCACCTGGGGCTACTGGAGCCAGACCCTCGATCCGCCCTAGCGGGAGGCGAGGAACAACGAAAACCTCGTATTCCCATTTCTCTAGTGGCTAATGACATTAAAGATTTCATATGGTTACTTGCCGTGTATCTTCAGCGAAATATCCGTTCATGTCTTTTGACTATTTTCTAATTGGATTTTTTAAATAATTGACTTTTGAGTTATTTACATATTCTAGATACTGGTTATATGCCTGATATGTGACTTGTAAATATTTTCTCCTAGGTAAACCTTCTCAGTATCTTTACAGGGTCTTTCATAAAGCAAAAGTTTTAAATTTATGAGATCTAATTCATCAAAATTTCTTTTTTACGTATGTCAATGTAAGAACCTTTTGCCTGTACCGATGCAACAATCCTGCAAGTTCTGCACATATACCCCAGAACTTAAAGTATTTTTTTAAAAAAATAATAAGAACCTTTTGCCTAGCCTTAGACAATAAAGATTTTTTGTTGTTGTTTTTTTAAAACAGTTTTGTAATTTTAAGCATTACAGTTATGTCTAGCCACTTTGCCACTTAATTTTTATTTAAGGGTTTTTTTTTTTTTTTTTCCCCCTTCGGGAGGGGGTTGTCTATGGATGTCCTATCTTTCCAGTATCATTTGTTGAAAAGATTATCTTTCCTGCATTAAACTGCTTTTGGACCTTTGTCAAAAATCAGTTGGACCAGTTTGTGTTGGCAAAGTTTAGCCTGAAGCTTATTCCAACAGGTGAGAAAAGTCCACAGTTTAATCATTCCTCCCCAACTTGTAACCCCGCCCTGAACTTCTGGACTCAAGCGTTGGAGATGTCAGGCGGACCTCGGGCCGCTCTGCGGTGGGTCAGCCCATCAGGGCTGTTTTCCCACCACACACCGCGCAAGCGGAGTCTATGCCTGTTACCCACACTCCCTGCGCCCCCGCACCCCGCTCCTGTGATCACGTCGGAATTTAAAGCGGCGGAGCAGAGAGCACTTGGACTGTCCAATTGGTTGCTGCGGCCATCTCTGCGAGCAGCGCGTTTGTCTTCTAGGCTGTTTAGTTCGTGCCTCCGAGAAAGGTAAGTCTTGCTTTTGCTTTTTTTAGGGATACTTGATACTTGAAAACAACGTGCGCCAGACCCAGCAGATGCTGTCACACAGTGGAAGTTTAAGTGCAAGTTGTCCCTGCACCTGGCACCAGGTCTTTCTTGGCGCGATTATGCAAGAGTCACCCGCAGCCACTGCGGAATCCTAGCAGGTCCCGCAGCTGCAACTAAGATAGTCCCGTTGGGAAGCTAGCACTTTTTAATACAGTAGAAAGAGGTTTGGTAAATGTGCGCGCTTAAATGTTGACGCAGTATCCACTATTACAGCTGCTTAGGTTGCTAGTGTTCGGGAAATAAGAGTGAAGTCATGGGATATGAAAGTAAGATTGAAATGGGCGAGGAGGGTAGCTGCCACCGCAGCCATCAGAGAGAAATCCGACGCGTTTCTCTCTGCAGGCGCGTGGTGATGTCCATGACCCAGGGTAGTGCCGCAGCAGCAGTGGCGGGACCTTGAGCGCGGCACGGCCGCGGAGTTTGGCCTCCCTCTGGTTCCTGGAAGCTTTCACCTCCCCCTCAGCCTAAGGCCAGGTGGCCTGGGAAGTTGGAAGGAGTGTTGTGGGGAGAGGGGTCCGCTGCCTGAGAATGAGAATTCTCTTTACATCTGGAAACTTCAATTATCGCGTGCGTCCTTTACCAATTTTCTTTTTCTCTCATTTTCTTTTTGATAGAGACGGGGGTCTCCCGCTGTTACCCAGGCTAGTTTGAACTCCTATACTCAAGCAATCCTCCCACATTGACCTCCCAAAGTGCTTGGATTACAGGCATGAGCCACTGTGCCTGGCTGCTTTACCAAAGTTCTATGAATGAATTTGTACATACATCCCCTACAGTAGGAAGTAATGTAAAACAGAGTCATTAATAATGCACATTTCCTAATGTGGGATGTTGGTGGCCAAGAGATACTTTGGTCTTTACTGAAACTCTTGTTATACTAACATGGAATTTGTAATAGTTGTGGACAGTGCAGACAGGGTTAGGATTTCTGTGACTAGAGAACTATTAGTGCATGAGGACCTACGGAAATCTGCACTGTTGACTTTTGCAAATAAGATGTGTAAGATTGCATCACTGTAGCAGAAATCTCCTACATTTTTAAGCTAAATTCTATTAAATTCATCATTGCTAAAGGAATTGTGCCCAGGATTTGGATAACTGATGTCATTACTTAATATTTGATGATATTCACTAACACATCTCATAGACTGGAACGAAGTGCTAGATTTTACCTGAAAGCTGCAAAAATGAATGGTTTAGATATATGTATGTATTTATTTTATATCAATTTCAAATATTTTTTAACATCCCTGGTCCCCTTTAATCAAGAATATAAAATCATCTACTTAAATTTTGCCACTTAAGTTTAGAACATTCTTAGAATCACACTATCTTAAAGAAGTCACACTGGAATTAGAAGCAAGTAAGTCTGAAGGTATAACAACCACCACCAACAATTTTTTTTTTTTCAAATCAAAACTCTACTATGGGGTGCGCATGTTTTCTCATACCTGTAATCCCAACACGTTGGGAGGCTGAGGTGGGAGATCACTTGAACACAGGAGTTCAAGACCAGCTTGGACAACACAGTGAAACCCTGTCTCCACAAAAAATAAGAAAATTAGCTGGGCATAGTGTCACATGCCTGTAGTCCCATCTACTTGGGAGGCTGAGGTGAGAGGACTGATTGATCCCAGAAGGTTAAGGCTGAAGTGAGCCATGATCGCACTACTGCACTCCAGCCTGAGGGACAGAGTGAGACCCTGACTCAAAAAAACAAAAACAAACAAAAAAACCCCCACCAAAACTCTAATATGGACATATTACTGTCACAGACCTTGCACATTCTAAAAAGGGTCCTTTTCCCTAGTGCTGGGAGAGTATGTGTTCAACTATGCAGCCAGCAAGAAAGCCTAGTTTATCTAGGGAGTATACCACTCACAAAAAGCCTCTCTTCTCTTTCTGGTATTGTACATGACATGATCATAGCTGTACCTGAAGAGAAGTATATTTTAATGACCATCATCAACTAGAAACATGTATAAATTTCTATACTTAGTGCCAGAGGAATGACATTGCCTTACACTATTCCTACCTCTGTACAGAGGCCAGCTGTGTGGTCTGTCTGCAGAGTCCCTAGAACTTTTTTTCATCTGACCTAGGATGCTTCTGAAGCAGTCCCACTGGACAGCTGTCTGGTATTGAGGATAACTCTGAGAAAAAGTTCTCATAAACCTAATCTACCATGTTTATTCCTGAACTCAAAAAGTTCATTGGCTGTTGAAATCCTGAAATTTCCTTTATTTGCATAAGGCTGAATTAAAAGTATTTTGTTAAAGGTAGTCCATTGCAAAAGAGAAACCACTATTCTGTAGAAAAACTCATTCAATATTTAGAATCTTTTCTTTGCAGAGATGAGATCCTGAAAAGAAAGTGTCTCATATATATATATTATTTTTTTAAACTCCACTATCATTGTGACTAAGGATTCATGAACTGAGACCCCCTCCCGCAGCTCTTGGTGGCACAGGGTGACAGCATGCTCAGAGCAAAGGTGCCACCCATGCCTCTTCTGGGGCTGTGCTGACTGCAGGCACCTTCCCACCACCCCCCAACCATCAACTCCAAAAACCCCCTCCTTTCCCCTGTATTGATGATTCTGTAGCTTTAACCAGGGCAGCGATGTCGCTCTAAATGTCCCCTTGGCATTCAGCCCCAGAGTGTAGGAAATATTCCCCCACCTGTTTCTCTGTGACTGTTCAGTCCTTTTCAATTAAAATCTTCATTTTACAAGCGAGGAAATGAGAGTAAGTAATTTTTGCGAATAAATTTCTTGTAGGGGCATAGTGAGAATTTAATAAAACAGTTTAAGGAAAGAAAACAAAAGGTACTATTTGTTGCGCTCTCTAGATGGTAAAAAGCAAACCACAGGTCTGTTGAATATGTATCACCTGCTGGTCTCTCGGTCCAACAGGCTGAACTGTGTGCCTGGGAATTTTTTTCTCGCTGTGTGCACCTCTTTGCGTCACAGGGTAGACTCTCTCCAGAGTCCTAGTGGACCAGCTGACCAGGCTGACGTGATCTGACAACATCGTAGGTTACCAATATCATCTCTCTCCCTCTCGCTTTCTTCCTAGGAGTCTCCTGCTGCCAGCTAAGTGTGAGAGAACTTGTGCGCGCATCTCCCCTCCGAATCCCAGCGATGGGTAACGTTAGCTTTGGCTCCAAGGAACAACAGCAGCTGCTGGAGCGGTTGCGGCTCCTGCCCGCGATGCTCATCCTCCGCGCCTTCAAGCCCCACAGAAATATCAGCGATTACCGCGTCGTGGTGGTCGGCACCGCTGGTGTGGGGAAAAGCACGCTGCTGCAGAAGTGGGCGACCGGCAACTTCCGTCATGAGTACCTGCCAACCATTGAAAATTCTTACTGCCAGCTGCTGGGCTGCAGCCACGGTGTGCTTTCCCTGCACATCACCGACAGCAAGAGTGGCGACGACAACCACAACCGCGCTCTGCAGCGCCACGTTATAGCCCGGGGCCATGCCTTCGTCCTGGTCTACTCAGTCACCAAGAAGGAAACCCTGGAAGAGCTGAAGGCCTTCTATGAGCTGATCTGCAAGATCAAAGGTAACAACCTGCATAAGTTCCCCATCGTGCTGGTGGGAAATAAAAGTGATGACACCCACCGGGAGGTCGCCCTGAGTGATGGTGCCACCTGTGCGCTGGAGTGGAATTGCGCCTTCATGGAGATCTCGGCCAAGGCAGATGTGAATGTGCAGGAGCTGTTCCACATGCTGCTGGATTACAAGAACCAGCCCGACCCCGACCTCCAGGAGCCCCAGAAGAAGTCCCAGACGCCCAAGACCATTGAGAAGATGCTTGACAAGTGCATAATCATGTGAGCCCCGGGCCTTAAGAGCCAACCCTTCCTACCCTGTAGTGTATAGAAAACGTGGACTAATTTCACTGTGTTACCTGTACATGGCTGATTTTGTGCTGTTGTTTAGACTGTAACAATCATATTGCCAATAAATGTACCTTGTAAGTTGATAACTTTACCTTTTCCCTGGCCAGATAATTCAAATTGTTAAAACATTGGCATTTGAAGAGGAAAACAAAAAGGAACATGATGCATTCAAAGTAAGGCCTTTAATAATAAATTTAATAAGAGAAAATGTTTTGAAAAGAACAAAATGTCAAAATGAATAGAAAGAGAAATTGGAAGGTGTCCTTTTGGTAACCCTATTATTGTGTACAACTTTAAAACATTCCACAACCTGTAAGTGTTTAATCGTATCTTTGAATTGTGTAATTAAGAAATGTGTTTTTACAACAAAGCTTTTGATAAAGTGCTTCGAGACATATATGCTAAACAAAAAGAAAGAATATGCTATAGCTGATCATTAGGGGTGTGGGAGCAGAGAAAACTGTGAAAGTGGAACTCTCTCACTAAAGATGTTAGTAGTTTCCCATGTCATTGAAAAATGTTTGAGTATTCTGCTAACAGTTTTTAAAAGTGTAACAGCTTCTTGACTTAATAAAGCTTTTCCTGCATGCAATCAGCTGTATGAATTTGTCTCATCAGAAAACAAAACATTGCCCATTGTATTAAAATTTAAACCATATCTGTTAAAGGTTTCCAGTAAGAACGTCACACATGGATGTCCCTGCCATGTTGAAATTATCCAATGTGGGAGGGAGGTGTTTCAGGGAGGTCCCTGAAATGCAGAGTTCTTTTGTATCTTTCCTGGACTGACATCCAGAAGAACTCCAGGCATCTTTGAGGAAGATGGTCACAGTGTTGCTGTCTCAGAGGAAGCAGGTGAAAAGCAAACCTCTGCCCTCTGTGGCCTGAAATACTGGATATAGGCAATAGGGAGCAGGATGAAAGAGAAAAGGAGAAATGATATTTGAGAGACTCCCCCATAAGGGAGTTTTTAGAGATTAATTTTATATTTGAACATAATTTTTGAGCGAGGGAATAAGTACACATATCCTTGCTTTTGAGAGTTTTTTCAACTTGAGAGAGGTGCAGAGGAGAGGCTCTTAATCTAGTGATTTTTTTTTTTTTTTTGCTGCAAAATATAATTGAAAAAGTATCTATTGAACAATGTATGTGTTTCTAGAGGAGAAGCACATTGTTGAGAAGGAATCATAAACACGATTTCATGATACTCTAGACAGTTTCAAGCTTGGAAAATCCACTCAGTGGCTCCTTTTAAAATAGTTATTTAAAATTTTCCCTATTCATTTTCATAGCAATTATTCTCAACCACTTGGAAAACACCCAAGTGATTCTACCATATAGCTTTTTATAAATTCTACTCTTTAAAAAAAAAAAATTATTTGCTGAAGTTCCTAATGGAGTAAATCCACTTCTAAAAGAAAATACTCTACCTTGGTTATTCTCCAAGATAATTCTCCTTGAAAATGTATTGCATCTATTGTTGTTCCTCATAGGTGAGCAAAGAGATTATTAAAATTCAAGTGGCAAATACTAACCTTGAGAAAGGGAAGAACAGGTTTTCAATGTTACAGGTAATAGTTTAAAAAAGAATTTTTGTTCCTGGGGTAACATATTTATACAAGTAGGTAGTTATCTTACTGTAGAGAATAATTTTATTTTCCATTAAAACTTGCGCTACATTAAATAGCAAGCTTTTACCCCTCTACTTCTGTCTTTGCCCAAATAGGAAAAATATAATCAAGATAATTACATTTCTTAAGACAACCTAATCACAACACTTTTTTCCTCCCAGTAACCGACAAAATCTATCAAAGGTCTCTTATGTTTCAGTTCAAATCAAATAACATGCATTAACTTTATAGTTCCCTGACTTCAAAATACCTTTGCTCTTGCTACTTCTGAGCTCCAAACACGAAACAACAGGTTGGATTCCATCCAGGGAATCAAGGTATTTTTTTTTATCATACTTAGATATAATTTGTTTCTTCCTAGGATGCTTAAGAAACAGTTTCATTTTCATGACATGCAAGGGCTTCAGGAAGCACCCTACCACAGGGTTCCTGGAAATGAAACCTGAATCTGCTCATGGCTGGGGTGGTCTCCATGTTAAATTCGGTCACTGGCACTCCCCTGGCAGACATCTGATGGGCAAACACAGCAGTGGGGTACACCACAGGGGGAGTACATGCCACTAGACACAGTCACAAGGGTGAACTCTCTGTCAGCCTCCTCCGGAATGGCAGGATCCAGGTTTTCACCTAACCACAGGGCTGAATTTGCAGCAAGCCCCTGCTCTCTGCCTCTTCACACCGGGAAGTTTCTCTACCGAGATTCTGGCGTCTTGAGCTCCAGGTCCTGGAGCACCTTCGCAATAAAGGTGGACAAACTGGACTGTTGTAATTCTCAGACATCACTCCGCAAAAGGTACATGGAGTTTAACATAAGCTAAGGTGGATTTCCAGAAGGTTCTTGGCGCCAGCCTGGGGTGCCGCCCGTGGATGTTCTGTCATGATCATGCCGCGGTGGCCCTGTGCGCCCAGCAGGGCCTCACATTTGGTGGTGGCAAGGTGTGGGGCTGGGCTCCTGCCCCGCCTGACCTCTCACTCACACTGGGGAGTTCCCGCACCCGGGAGGGCGTGGGCAGAGGCCCGAGGAGCCGCCAGGGCCGGAGCTGACATTTTCCCCAATGACCTCCGGCTCCTTTGAAGGGTGGAACCCCACTTACCGCACTAACACCAGCCCCTGAAATGAAGACTGTGTGCTTTGCCTCTGCAAAAACTTCCGAAAATCTGCCATACTTGAACTGGGAGGAGCCATTTTCAGGCAAATCTTGGTTTCTGTGGTGCCTGGAGGCTTCAGGCCACAGCTGGGAAGTTAGGGGGCTCGGGACAATGGGGAGAGGTTAGCAGGTTTTCTTGTAGTTCTGATTCATTCAGTCGTTTATTTAGATATCTGATGTTCAAATGTTTCTCCCAGTTTGTAGGTAGTGTTTCCATTCTTTAACGAGGTCTTTCACAGAAGTTTTAAATTTGATAAAGTGCAATTTATCAAATTTTTCTTTAAGAATTATGCTTTTGGTGTCAAGTTTAAGAAGTTTTCACCTAGATTTTTAAGATTTTCTCCTATTGTTTGTTAAGTTTTATACTTTATGCTTTATATTTAAGTGCATGATCCATGTTAAGTTAATTTTATATCAGGTGTGAGGTTTAGGTTGGGTTTTTTTTTTTTAAGTATTTTTGCCTATGGATGTTTAATTGTTCCCAAACTATTTGCTGAAAAGACTATTGTATTAGTCCATTCTTAGACAGCAGTAAAGAACTACATGAGACTGGGTAGTTTATAAAGAAAGAGGTTTAATTAACTCACAGTTCTGTAGACTGTATAGGACACATCACTGGGGTTGCCTCAGGAAACTTACAATCATGGCAGAAGACAAAGGGAAAGCAGGCACATCTTCACATGTGAGGGATACAGAGATAGAATAAAGGGGGAGGAGCCACACACTTTTAAACCTTCAGATCTCATGAGAACTCACTCATTATTATGAGAATAGCAAGAGGGAAATCTGCCCCATGATCCAATCACCTCCTACTAGGTCCTTCCCTCAGCACGGGGGAATTACAATTCAACATGAGATTTAAATCTCATCTTGAATTTTTTTTTATTGGGGTACATGTGCACATCCTGCATCCTGCAGGATTGTTGCATAGGTACATACATGCCATGGTGATTTGCTGTCTCCATCCTCCTCTTCCCCATCGCCTTCATCAGGCATTTCTCCCCATGTTATCCCTCCCCAACCTCCCTGCCCCCTGATGTCCCTCCTCTCCTCTCTCTATTCTCTTTGCAGCAATTGTAAATGGGAGTTTGCTCATGATTTGGCTCTCTGTTTGTCTGTTTTTGGTGTATAGGAATGCTTGGAATTTCTGCACATTGATTTTATGTCCTGAGACTTTGCTGAAGTTGCTTATCAGCTTACGGAGGTTTTGGGCTGAGACAATGGGGTCTTCTAAATATATGATCATGTCATCTGCAAATAGGGACAATTTGACTTCTTCTTTTCCTAATTGAATGCCCTTTATTTCTTTTTCTTGCCTAATTGCTCTGGCTAGGACTTCCAATATTATATTGAATAGGAGTGGTGAGAGAGGGCATCCTTGTCTAGTGCCAGTTTTCAATGGGAATGCTTCCAGTTTTTGCCCATTCGGTATGATATTGGCTGTGGGAATTTTAAATCCTCCTAATTCCCATGTGTCAAGGGAGAGCCCAGGTAGAGGTAATTGAATCATGGGGCAGCTTCTCCCATGCTGTTCTCGTGACAGTGAGTGAGTTCTTAGGAGATCTGATGGTTTTATACAGGGCTCCATTCCCTTCACTCGGTGCTTCTCCTTCCTACTGCCTTATGAAGAAGGTGCCTTGCTTCCCCTTCACCTTCTGCCATGATTGTAAGTTTTCTAAGGTCTCTCCAACCATGTTGAACTGTGAGTCAATTAAACCTCTTTCCTTTATAAATTACCCAATCTTGAGACGTTTTTTAATAGTGATATGAAAACAGACGAATACACATATCAACTATCTTCCTATAGTGAATTGCTTTTGCACCTAGTGCATGCTTTTGCATAGTTAATTGAACACAATTGTGTGTGTCTATTTCTGAGTTCTCTGTTCTGTACCATTGATCTATGTGTCTATCTCTCCACCAATTTGATATTGTTTTGATTACTTTAGCTTATATAATAAGCCTTAAAATTAGGTAGAGTTATTTTTGCCACTTTTTTGGGGAGGCTGTATAATGGCCCTAAAACTATTCAGGTCCTAATATTTGAAACTCGTGAATGCTCCTTATGCAGTTGGCCCTTAATAACATGAGTTTGAACTGTGTGGGTCCACTTACATGTGGATTTTTCAAGATAAACACATTGAAAAACTTTGGGGGGGGTTCTGAAAATTTGAAAAAAATTGAAGATGAACCATATAGCCTAAAAATATATATATAAAAAAAAGAAACAGGAATGTACTGAATACATAAAACAGATAGATGCTAGTTTATTTGATTATTTGCTACCATAAAATATATACAAATTTATTATAAAAAGTCAAAATTTATCAAAATCTACACAAAGAGACCACTTGCAGTTGAGAGAAATGTAAACCAACATGAAGATACAGTTGATATGGTTTGGCTCTGTGTCTCCACCCCAAATCTCATCTTGAACTGTACTCCCATAATTCCTATGTGTTGTCAGAGGGACACCCGGTGGGAGATAATTTGAGTCATGGAGGCAGTTTCTCCCATACTGTTCTCGTGGTAGTGAATAAGTCTCACAAGATCTGATGCTTTTATCAGATAATTCTGCATTCGCATCTTCCTCATTTTCTCTTTCTGCCACCATGTAAGAAGTGCCTTTTGCCTCCCACCATGATTCTGAAGCCTCCCGAGCCATGTAGAGCTGTAAGTCCAATTATACCTCTTTTTCTTCCCAGTTTCCAGTATGTCTTTATCAGCAGCATGAAAATGGACTAATACAACAGTATTCAATCATAACAACATAAAATTAACTATAGCACATATCACTTTAATAATTTTGTGGC